AAGGCAGAAGTGGCAGACAGTGTCTGCCACATGCATGCCAATGTTATTTTTGAACATTATTCACTGAAAATACTAAAAGAAAGAAAAGAAACCCCAAATCCCAAACAAACTAGTATTATGGTCTGATCTTTCTATCACTATAGGTAATAGAGAACTTCTGTCACGATACTGTGGCAACGAAATCTGTAGTCTAACTTTGTTTAAAAAGTATTATCCCGGTTGATTTCTCAGCTTTATGATTAAATTGATTTTGTTTTTTTCTTTTGTGTTATGAGAAAAGATTATTTCTAATTCTGCAAATAGTCATCCTAATTCCAAGATCTTTATGCATTTCCTCCTAATATACTGGAAGCGTGCTCAACTTTTGAACTGAATTTTGAACTTTTGTATTTAGCTCTCCCACGTAGTTGTGCCAAGGCTCAGGAAAAATAGACTATTGCTCTCTATTCAGCGGAAGATTCTTGAATACAAACTGTGGATTATTACTTTCTGATCTAAGCTCAAAACAAGAAGAAAGATACTTTCTTCCCCTGTATTGGCCATTTTGCTTGAGATTGTTCCTTGATTTTCAGCTAGTATTTGGCTGTGAGACTGATAGCCTTGATTGTGCCGAAGAACGTAACAGGCAGGAGGTCTACGTGAGCGTTGCCACCTTCCACGCTGAACGAGACTCGGGAGTCATTATTGGCACAGCTGGTAGATAAGATAAAAGTGAGATTAGTTTGGGGCAGATGAAATTTTTGTGTGTTGTTACAAAGGCGTGTACATTTTCGTTGGAGAACTTAATTCCTGGAAAATCTCATGAAGATAGTAAGTCTGTCTGAGGGTTAAAAGGACACACACTGCCCTTTAATCTGCATGGGAAAAAAAGCTATGCTTGGAGTTATTATAGGGTTGCATCAAGTAATCCTGTGCGCAGAGCTTTTCTGACAAATTGAATCAATGATTTTGGTGCACACATAGCTGAAAAAAGTGCTATGGGTCATATTCCTGCTCTTTGGCAATAAGTAGCAGACTCAGCACCACTGGAATCAATGACATTTTCACGTATGCCTGCATGAAATGTGTCTCTGTTCTTACCAAGCTGAACTAGAAACAAAAATGCAAGAAAAAAAAATAAGTTCACAGAACAACTGAATAATAGTGTAGGAAAATGCTTCTGTTATAATTGTTTACAGTGGGAAGTAAATATCGTGGTGGCATTTCATATATTTACTGGCACAGACAAGTTTTTAAAAACATCATGCATTGTTAACATCTCTAGAAAATGAATGTTTGCTAATTAAGTACGTGAAAGTCTTTCTGTGGTTTGTATGTACATGCAAGCTAACATCACCTTTTAATTTTGGACGCCTCAACATTTAATGCCCAGTATTTCCTAGGCTTGGGCCATTTTTGCAGATCTATCAAGTAGCTTTAATTTAGAAGAATGGATGCTAATTTTGAAGTGGAGCTACCCAAAATCAATGGCCACTTTTGTTTGATTATACTGCATATGATAAAACCTACAGTAGCTACAGCTGTAGCTTTTTGTGAGAGTTTAAAGATACAGGTGGGTTTTTTAGGTCATTTGGATCAGTGCTTGTTTAATCAAATGTGAATCTTACACAAAATCCTTATAGGTCTAGCTGCATGTTTCAAAAACCTGGCTGTTGTCTTCTTCCTCCAACTGTGTTCAATTCCCATGCCAGCTACAGAGAAGCAGGACAGAGGCAGGACATGCAGCTCGGTCTCCACGACAGAAATCAGTAATTCTGGTTTCCCTTTTAGCTCTGTTGTTGGCCTATTTTCTATGTATTGATTTTTCATCTCGTAGAACAGAGATGTTATACTGGTAATGTTTTCAAGTTCTGAAAATGTTTGCCTCTAAAAAAAAAATTGTGCATAGCTGCTGCATTGTTGTCAGCTCTTGGGTAGGCAAGAAATAGGCAGTGCACCCGGAATGAGTTATTGAATTTGTAGAAGGGCACGAGAAAAGGAGTCTGCAGACTTCACATCTCAGAATGGCCCAGGACATATCTTGGATTCATTTTCTCGGCTACTTCTAACCTTTCTAGGTTGTTCTCTCCGAGTTCTTGCCCAGTGCTGCCCCTTCCTTTCTGTGCCAGTTCTAGCTTCTGTGGAAGCCTTGGATTAATCTACCTCTGCTTCCTCCTCTTATTGTTTTACTGCTCCACCCATAGTATTAAACAAAAAAAACCAAACATGCAGGTACCATAGAAACGTACGTCCTAGCAAGCCTTGCAGGTTCTTTAATAAATATTATTCTTTGATATTCCAGTTGCCTTGTCTTCTGTGTTGTTAATCAATTATGAACACTCAGGATATTCCCAATTTTGAGGAAAAAATGTTTTTTCTACTCATACTGTCTATAATAAGAAACTAATATGTTGGATATGCTGGATTCTACCCTGTTGATCTTTCTGCACCACACGGCTGTGTAGTAAGGCTTTCCTTTGTCACTTGAAACGTTCTTTTAAAAATAGTCACTTTAAAAACAGTTTCGCAAGGTATCAGAATTATGGATGCATGCTCTCTTTTAAATAACTGAACTACTGTATTATTTAGTTAATGATGCAGAATTGTAGAAATGTTCTGCTAAAAGAGGCTTTAAGGTGATGTTTTTGTCTACTTGCTGTATGCCAGTATGCCGTGTGTATTAGACATGCCAGTATCCAAAACCATGTCTGATAGATTGTTTCTTAGTTTGTTAAAACATCTAGTGAAAGAAAAGCACCACATATTTTTCTGCCTTGATATTAAGGAAATCTTCCCTGTCATCCAACCTACATCATCTGTGTTGCAAAGTAACTTTATTTCTGTTCATCCATCCTCTAGAGGACATAGGGAACAATTATTGCCGTGCTTTACAACAACCAAAGATGAAGACAGATAACATGTTTCTTGGCAGTTTCTAGTTTCTAGGCTAAACAAACCCAGTCCTTTCAGCCTTTCCTGATATGCTGTGTTTTATATCTCATGTTGCTTTTATTCTTGTTTTATGGTCTCTTCTCAGGACCCTACCTGAGATCTTGTTTGTGCTGGATAGCACTGAACAGAGCTGAGTAATTACCCCTCATGATACTGCTAATCCTCCTAAAAATGGGATTTGCCTTTTTCTGCAGCACCATTGCTCTGCTGACTTTTATTCAGCTAGTGATCTATTATACTCCCACAATCTTTCTCTTTTATTGTAGCCAGTTGCTTTCTTTTTTGTTTTTATCAAGAGATATCTTTGCAGTTTTCATAGTACTGATCTTTTAGCTTCTAATTTATTCAATGGTAGTTTCTGACTGAAGTAGCAATTTTGTTGCCACAACATTTTGGGACAAGGTGATTTGTCATGGGCTGCAGTGATTAATAGTCCTCTATGACTGCTTTTGGATTAATGGAAATAATAAAGAAATCCTCACAGGTAGAGGCCTGGCAGCGGTTACAGCATGGGCATGTCGTTCCCTGCTGTGCACGCCTAGCTTGCTACCTGGCCCACGGCTCATGCGTGACTCTTGTGTATCTGCAGCTCAGCACAATGACCCCTGAGCCCAGTGCAAGGGATTGGCTCGGTGCTGGGTTGATCCGGGATTGTGGAGGAGGAGAGAGGCTGGGATAGCACCCTGCGGCTAGGGGTGTGGGCCACCTGGCTTTTCCTCCTAACATTCACAGTTCCCAGTTGCAGCCTCAGGTCCAGCCGGTGTGACCAGCCTTTCAGCGTGTTTTAGGTCAGTTGTAGGCCCATAGTGGGCAGTAGTGAGCTGCTGTCATCTCCCCATCTCAGCCCGCAGCTGAATGGTTCTGTGCAGAAACTGCCAGGCCTTGTGATCAGGTAGGCCACGCAGTCAAGAGGGAGAGGCAGGTGGGATCTGGTAACATTTTACACCAAAAAAGATGACTACATGTGATGGGCCAAGAGCAACAAGAGAGGCAACATTCTATACAAAGAGAACAAAAGAGACTGAGTGAGACTGTGAAGGAGTTAGATTGTTAAGAGAATTAGAAAAGACCGTCAATAAGAAGGGCTACTCAGACCAGCAGGCAGTTAATCACTGCCTTGAGTCAGTCTTGCTGTGACGGGTGAATCCTGCTGTGTTTGGTGAGTGCCTCCTGTTGGGGTGTGCGTGTAAGGTCTGTCCATCCTCGGAGTGGCTTGCTTTCATCCTGCTCATGCTGTTCCCTCCTGCCTGGTCTGCCACGCACACATGCCAAATACAAAACATAAATACCAAAACACCAATAACATCAAGATCCAAAACCACCAAGGATACAAATAACACACTGGGTGACAACATTACGAGGCGTGGCATTACCTCCTGCACTGGCGATATTACTTGGCAAGTCTGTACAGTGGCATTTGTTGTGATGGGTGGGAGATGCAGAATGTGTTTTTATAGGGGTATAATTTTGTGTGTGGATGTACCTATGTGTCCATGTATATCAGTAACTGGCAGTATTTGCAATCCTGCACGCTCGCTATCTGTTAGTTGTGGCAAATAAAATTGTAAATAAAACTAATGAGATTTGTTTTAAAAGCATGAGCAGGGATTGGGTGTTTTCATGCCAGCTCCAGAGGCTGTAGCTCCCAGCTACAGTACATCTCATTTCAGAGCACCTGGGGCCGGTCCTGCTGTCACGATCCGGTGCAGGCCCGGTACGAAATGCCCCGGCAGAGCCCGGGTGAGCCGTTCTCCGGGCAGGAGGGGTGAAGCCGCTGCCGACTCCGTACGCGGCCCGGGCGGGGGGGGAGGAAGGGCCAGAGGAG